TTATTATTTAATTTGCTTCACGCGTGATCAAATTTTTCTTCCTCTTAAAATCAGAAACCTCAATAGATCCAAAAGGCTAATTCTTTCCACTTGCTTCAAATACGCCTGCGGCCTGCCAACAAAACAAAAGATACAATCTCTCAAAATTCAAAAATTAACTATCAAATTAATTTCAAAAATATTCCATTAAAAATCTTACCTAAATACCATAAAATAAAACCAATTAATTACACATCACAATGTACATACATACATAATTACATACGTACATTCATACATTGCTACTCGTTTATCTAAATATTAATATATATATATTTGTTCCTCACCATTAGCTCGTGCTCGTCCATTTTCACGATATGTGTAGTCGGGCAAAGGCACTCTTCCCGACTCTATGTCTTCAATATCCTCGACTAGCTTTTGGTAGTGGAATTTGACCTCGTCAACGGTCTTTGTCCCGACTGCTCGAGCTATATTTTGCCACTTGTCAGGTGTGTCCTGGTCGTACACGGCCAAGGCATTCTCGAACACTTTGTTTTCCATCACGCTCCAATTCGAATTCGACGCCATTTTTTTTAATTATAATAATTATAAAAGTGTATTATTTCTTTTTGGATTTTCCTTTCACTTGACATGTAAATTATCCACCATAACAAATATTGGAGATAAGATTAAACCAGTAGTTAATCACCAGCTGGTGAGATAAAGCACAGCTTGTGAACAGCCTGCTTTTTATTCCTTTATCCCAAATTTAATCCCTTTTTGGTTACTATTTAACCAATTTGTATTTCGATTTAAAAAAAAATGGTCATCGAAATTAGACTCGTACGTATGTGGGATTATGTGCATGGGAAATAGAAAATAACTAAATAAAAAAATATATAAATAAATAAATGAAAACAACTGTTTATAATTCTTAGGATTATATCACTTTGTTTTGTTTTTATGGCATGATTGGTATGCGAGAATGATGGGGAATAGAATGATCATTAATTCCCTTATTAATTCATATTCTCATGATTGATATATTTTTTATAAAGGAATGACCATTCATGGGGGATTGCAAAACTCATCTATATGGGATTAGTCATCCCATAACTAATGGATGATTTTTCCATTCCCATATATTTCGGAACTGATTTTTCAAAAAATAAAATTAACATGTTCGATTTATGCAATTTATCATTTTAAAAAATATATTTCAAATAAAATTTTTATCTATTAGTTATATTTTAATTAGATATATTAAATACTTATATAAAAATAAAACTCACAAAAAATACATTTATAAATAGGTTAGAAAAATCTTATTTTATTTTATGTAATCATATATATTATAAATTAATTCATAAATTGAATTATATTATAAAAAAGTATATTTGACCACATAGACTTATAGGGGTTTATGTACTGATAGAGTTGTATTAGTTAATATGTATATAAATACATAATTCACTAATTCATTATTGATAGAGTTGTATTAGTTAATATGTATATAAATACATAATTCACTAAGTCATTATATAAGATGGGTGTAACAATACAAAAGTATGTTTATTAAAATATAGTATATTTATAAAATATAAATTAATATTAGTATTATCATAAATAAGAAAATAACATTGATATAAATATTAATTGTTTTTTTGTAAATAGTGATAAATGATAATGTCATTTCATTCCGATCTTATTCCTTCTTCGCACATGAAATAACCGAACGAATGCAGTGCTTATAACGTGAGATCACGCAATTGATACGCTAGAAGATATAAAACGCCTCGTGTGGCCTTTTCCCTGTGAAATTGTCGTGGGCCAAACCCGAAAATTCAAGAAAATCGAGAGTTAACGAAGAAAGGAAAGCCAATTCATGTTGTTTTGATGATTGTGTATGCAATTTTTTTTTTCTTTCTGTGTCGCGATGTTTCATGACGTACGTAAAAACGGCAAGGGAAATTAGAATCACTGCCTTGCGAGCGCTACACATATAGAAAAATAAAAATCGACTCGCCTAGTAATTAACTAGTTATTTGTTGCAATCGACTTCCCATTGGTTAATTAATCCTAGTGTTATGGTATTTGTTAGAGGAGTTGATCCAAACCGTGATATTGTTATGCATTTTTTCGATAAGATGAACTTGAATTTAATGTGATATGCCTTAGTGATGTTGAAAACAGGGCAAACAGAGAATATATGTATGCTCTTTAGTAATGATTTGTTTTGTCTTATTTCATCAATTGTTTTCACAAGTGTTTCTTTCGTAAAGATCAGTTCAAGTTTTCGACATATCTATCCAGAGCCAGAGGAACAGTTTTTTATATTAGTATAGATTTGTTTTGCAGGACTGAAGATGATAAGATTGGATTGTGCAGGATTACAACAATTTCTATGGTATTTGAAGATAATTAGTAAGGTGAAGTTATTAGGTGAACAACAAAGAAAATTTTGGTTATTTCATTAGAGCATGTTTGTTTATAAAAATTGTTGGTTTTGTTTGGATTTTTTGATTTGATTTGGTTAATTTTGAAAAAGGTGGTATTGTTAGTTGTTAGTGGGTATATTAATATAATATTTAAAATAAAATAATTAAAATTGATTTGATGTAAAAGTAAGAGAGAGAGATTTGAAGTGATGGTTAGTTAAAATAATGTAAGTGGACGAATAGTGAATTAAGGTTGATGTGGTGTATGAATGATTGATTAATATTATTTAATTATATTGATAATTTTGATGATAATGGGGTTGAGTTAAAATGTTTAAATTTTTTTAAAAAATTCCATAAACAAACATGGCAATATGTATCTGAATGTTCAATTTTGCAGATTATATAAAGTTGTTGTTGCAAAATGATAAATAAAATAGTTTTTTGTTCCAAAAATTATCCCATTAAACAAAACATGTACTCAATAGTTGAAAAATGAAAAATAGAAAAATGACAAAGTGATAGCAACATTGTCAAATATTTTAAGGAGCCATTGTTTTATGTTTTTCCCTGGTGGAAACTCACACCCAGGCATGAAAATGAGAAAATAAAATAAAAATAAAAAAATCCAAAAAATGACATTTTATTTCCCTCAAGTCAAATTATAACCCCCCAAACAACCTGCATCTATGTGATTGTGATAACATACAAAATTTCACAAGAATATTCTAAAAAATCAACAAAAGCCACTTTCAAACAGCTTTCATATGTACATTGACAGAAAAAAATATTAAGCTAAACTATATCCTACCTCAAAATGCCACACATTATAGAAGATAATCCTCATAAAAAATGTGATATCAAACTCGTGTGGCATGAAATCTTCACTCTGAAAAGTAAATCGATTTTCTTTAAAAAACAAAATAAAAAATGGACATAACCGTCTGACCTGATGCACGAATCGGGAGCTTCTGGTAACCCGTCTTCATCAGCTGTCTCCATACCTTGTGGAACTGAAAAATGTACACATTTTTTCAAAGGAAGTTACAATAACAATGATAAAAATAAAATAAAATAAAATACAAACTATAGGTTATATGATTAAATAATCACCGTGAATAAGTCGGATAACCTACTAAACAACGAGTCAGCCGTACCAACTCCTGAGATCGACACAATAACAACTGTATATAAGATCAAAGATGATTAAGTATCCTAGCTAGACTAGGAAAAACTTACAAAACTTTCCAGTCAGGCCTTCAAAAATTCGTAAACATAACAAATTAATTAACATCTCTTTAACAATATGAAAGTTACGATAAAACGACAATGTTCTATTCAGCGAAATTAACTGATAATTATCAATTGCTTTAATATTAGATTTACAATTAAGTTCTGCCCATAATGCAAGTAGCCACAGAAATAGATAGATGTGATATTCAATAACTTGCATTATGTATCAGAACAGAGGCCAGGCGGTTCACAACCCAGTATATCATTTAAATTATGTAAAAGGTTAGTAGTGTTTGCATAACTTAAGATTTTGAGCTAAGCTAGTAATTTGAATTTTGCCCAACATTTTTCAAATGTGGCACATTCCAACTTAAATTACTCATCCATTTTTACATAATTTTTTAGCTATGTACATGTATTTATATATTATGTAAAGTTATAAACACCACATAGTGCTAAAATATAGTGCCTGCTCGTGTCTAATTCTTCCTTCTGAAGTTTTCATAGTGGGAATGAATGTGTTTTGTATTAAGAGTTTAACCAAGCGGGGATGTAGCTCAAATGGTAGAGCGCTCGCTTTGCATGCGAGAGGCACGGGGTTCGATCCCCCGCATCTCCACTTTTTTGTTTTCAACTTTTTATTTTCCCTTTTCTTTTCCAATTTGGATAATGGCTTATCACCATCATCCACAGCCACCATGTCACCGCCACTCGTCGCTTCCCTAATCTCCTCCTCTCCCGCCGTCACCTCACCGGCGCCGCCACCAATACCTCCACATTGCCCATCACACCATTACCCCGCCAAACTCGACACAATCTCCCGCCGCGACGCAGCTATTCTCCTCTCGTCGGCCGTCGTCACTCCTTTCCTCCAGCCACCACGCGCCTCGGCGTTATCAATCGGAATCTGTACTGGCTTTCATATCATCTGTCCGCCTCTTTTCCAACTCTTATCTGGACTTTTTCAGTTGATCATTTCTGTTTTGTTTTTCCCCCCATTTTCGCAATTGATTAGCAGGACCAAAGGAATGGCTGAAAGAGCAGAAGAAGAAGTCCGCCGGATTTCTCTTAGCTCCGGTCAACGCCTCTCGCAATATCCTTCAATCAGCTTACCTTTTACTGAGTAATAATTTTTATTGTGCTTAATTGTTTCACACGTTTTTGCTTCATTTGGTGACCACAATAAAGCAATGTGAATGTGAACTCAACCTGTTTGTGTTTAACACTGTGAAAGACAAATCGGAGTTAGGCGAGAATGACATGGAAGAACTGCGGAAGCTTCTGGTGTCTGCCGCCAGAGATTGCGTTCCTCAGGACCGGAATTCGTTCGTCGAGTTCCAAGCCAACACTGGAGTTGAGGTAGAAAATTGCTATTTCTAGTGCTTGAGCTTTTATCTTATCCAAATGGAAATTGTTTTGGAGCTTGCAGAACAAAATGAGATTGTTTGAATCCCTTCATTATCCATTATCCATGTCTACTGAACACTTTTTTTCTGGGTTTATGATAGATTTGAACCCTCCATCATGTTATGCTTTTGATTAGTTTCATGGTTTCTTCAGCCTTGGAAAAAAGAGTAATATATTTTCTTCATTATGGTGGGTTGATGATAGATTTGAACTCTTCATTATGTTATGCTTTTGATTAGTTTCATCTTATACTGCATTCCAATCAAAGTCTACATAGTAAAAGCAACTTAGTAAAGAAGAAGTGGATGCATTGAGGTTCAATGGAGAAATTAGTATCCATCGACTTTATTTGCTGTATAATGGATTCAGAGTGTACAATTTTATAGGTCTGCACATTCCGGCTGATTGTGAAAAATGCTTCGTCTTTGCTTGCTGATAGGGATCCAATCAAATCCGAAGCTGAATCCAAGCTCAATGATCTCATCAGGTATATATCATTTGGGCCGGTTCAGTTAATGGGTCTGTTTACGATTGCTGCTGTCCGAAAAACATGCGAACCAGGCTTTAGCATTTTCCAGTTGCTAATGTATTCCTTGCTTACTGCAGATCATTTTCCTCTCTTAATGGCATGGCAAGGGAAAACGGTACTCAACTCGCTTCAAATAGGTATAAAAAATGAATGGGACAGAATAATGTGCAAAGTGTTCGGAATTGAAGTTTATCATATATATTGCAGGAAAAAAATTGGGGAAGCCATTAAAGATACAGTATCTTCACTGAACGACTTTGAGCAGGGCATCAAAGATTGTCTCCAAGTGTAAACGAGTGAACCTTAAAGTCACTTTAACCTGATGTTTATCGAGCTGCTGTAAACATATGAATTATGAACCTTAAAGTCTAGGTTCCATCTTTGTAACCAATTTCTGTACCATTCTTGTGCACTTCCTGTTTGACGGTTAAACATGTCGATTACCTTGTCTAAAAGTGTAGCAAAATACTTGAAAAAATATATGTTCAACTGAGCAGTACAAAGGTTCAAAAAATGATCAATGACTGTAGATCTTGTATGTCAGGGCTTCTGTAGAGGTTCAGCTCATCTTTGGTTTGTACAATTCGACCATAACGAGTTAAATATCCTGTTACATTGTCTAATTATTTTTAAGTTTTTGTTTTTTAATTATGGTTAATTGCTACTTTATTTCATATTTGTTTAATTCGCGAAGAGATGAACGACTTTNTTTCGTTTTAAATTTTAAAGAGAGAAATTTCTAGCCGAAAATGAAATATTTAAATTTCTATATTCGGTTGCAAACAAATAGAAAATAAATAAAATAGATAAAAAAAATAATGTTGGTTAAATTTCGCATCATCCAACGGAGAAAGAGTACTATCCTTAATGGAGGGCTCAGCACAATAAATATGAAGCTCCTTAATTGTCTTTGCAAATTGCAACTGACCAAACAAAAACAAAAAGGAACAAAACCAGCTCAGAGCCAAGCACAAAAAACTCCATAAGTATCATATTCACCATCCACTTTGATTCACTCACACACTCACAGAAAAAGCAGTTGATTCGATTCCTTATGGGCTCTGAACAAATCCCTTCAATTTGAATTTCTTTTTTCTTTTTCTTTCGAACAGAGAGAGAAACACAGGAACATACTTGAAGATATTCTTGAAAAAAGAGAAAAGGATCTTTTTTTAAGAAAGAGGGTGCACAAAAACTCATAGTAGAGAGAAAGAGACAGAGATGGCGGGTGATGTCCCTTGTTGTGAGAGCACGTTTTTTCTGTATGTGATAGTGATCATAGGGCTTGTGGCCTTTGCCGGGCTCATGGCTGGTCTGACTCTTGGGCTGATGTCGCTTGGCCTTGTGGACCTTGAAGTGCTCAGCAAATCTGGGCGGCCACAGGATCGTAAACATGCCTGTACTGTATACTCTCTTTCTCTTGTTTGTCTCTGCGTGTGGAGTTTTATTGGTCTTGGAACTTTTGGTGGTGTTTGAGTTCGAGCGTTTTGAGTTCGATGATTTGTGATTTTGCGTTTTTTTTTGTCTGTTCTATGATTTTTGTGGGTTTTGGTGTGATTTGTGGACCTGATTAATCAGAGTAATCATTTGTTGATTGTTCTGTTTTTGGGTGTGTGGTAATTTATGTTCGTGAAGTTATTGTTTAATTTTATTTGTGTGATTTGAGTTTCAACGAGATGAGGAGTTAAGTTTAATTTTTTTAGGCTCTTGGTTTGATCGCTGCAGTCACATACTAATTTTCAGTCATTACTATCTGTTGACTTGTTTAGGCTGCACCTTTCACGTGATATATATCCTCTGAAGAAATTAGTTGGAAAAATGAATCATTTAAAGACATACAGTACTTTTTTCATGTTCTGGACATAGTATGTTCTCTGAGATTAAATTCCCATCAATGGGTGTCGTAACTCGTAATGAACTATTTGCTAGAACGACATGATTCTCATCAAAATCTAAAGTTTTTTGTGTTGTAAACATTTGATTAGCATAATAGTAACTCTGCCGATGTGAACAGTTTGCATTCAGTATCCAGTGCCTGCATATCTCTGATTGTTCATTTTCTGGGCAGCTAAAATACTTCCTGTGGTGAAAAACCAGCATCTTTTGCTTTGCACACTCTTGATTGGGAACTCTTTAGCTATGGAGGTATGTTGAATTTCATTTTCTGTTTTGTGAATGTGTGGGGCCCACGGGCTTAACGGCAATCTATGTTGTTTTAACTGTATGCTGTGCCGAAACACTTTTAATGAACTTTTCTTTTGCATTTGTAGTCACTTCCCATTTTCTTGGACAAACTCGTGCCTCCATGGGCCGCTGTTCTTGTATCGGTCACACTCATCCTCATGTTTGGCGAGGTACCTTATCTATGGAATACTCAACCTAACAATTTGGGACTCTTGCTGTATTTTTGCTTGTCTGGCAAAGATTTAATTTTATTCAATAATTTCCTATTGAAGATATTGCCTCAAGCTATCTGTACTCGCTATGGATTAACCGTTGGAGCAACTGTCGCGCCCTTTGTCCGCCTTCTTCTTTGGTTGTTCTTCCCAATTGCTTATCCAATTAGTAAGGTATACAGAGTGAGAATTTTGATTTTGATTATTATGTTTTATACTCTTGAAGGCATATATAAATACCTTATTACACAGGAATTGCTACGGTCTCCGCATTTTATTTTCTTGCAAAAGGTTGTTCAGAGTTTAGCTTTTTAATTTATCTTTTGAAGCTGTATTGCATGAATCAGGACTAGGTTTCATGGGAATAGCGAAAAAGATGCCATTTTTTTTCTTAAAGTAGCCTCTTTTCTTGTAGTTTCTTGATTGGATGCTGGGTAAGGGTCATGCAGCATTATTGCGTAGGGCCGAGCTGAAAACTTTCGTTGATTTTCATGGAAATGAGGTAAATTAATGTGTCATTTTTCTTTTTGCAACATGATTTTTCTTCTATTTCAGGGCACAGTTACTATGAATTACTTTATTTTCTCTTATTGAATGTATCGATTGTGGAAAAGCATCTGTTATTTGTCTTATGATGAAGGGTATATAATTCTTGTTTTAATAGGCTGGAAAAGGTGGAGATTTGACGCATGACGAGACCACAATAATTGCTGGGGCATTGGAATTAACTGAGAAGACTGCAAAAGATGCAATGACCCCTATATCCAAGGCATTTTCCATTGATCTGGATGGGAATCTTAATTTGTGGGTATTTTTTTTTTTTAAGTTCATTTTTCTATCCAACAAAAAATAAGATACGCCTTTATGTTTAACTCATTCTAGCCTGTTAAACTTTTCATGATCCCCTCTTTATAATTTTTTCACAGGGAGACATTGAATGCCATCATGACAATGGGCCACAGTAGAGTTCCTATTTACTACAAAAACCCAAATAATATCATTGGACTTATATTGGTAAGTGCACATTTTTCTTGTCGTTTTTCTTAGATTGTTCGAGTGATCATGAGATGTTGAGTTCTTCATCGTAATTTGTGCCTTTTCTTTTCCTTCCTTTACATAAGGCGAATCTTAATAACACGTGTTTCATGATATGTGCAGGTCAAAAATCTTCTGGCGGTTGACCCGAGTGATTCAGTTCCTCTCAGAAAAATGTTGATACGAAAAATCCCTCGGTGAGGATAAGCTGTAGTAGTCTTGTTGATTTCTGTGTTGAAAATTAATACGGCCTTGATACTTGAGAAGACACAATATCGGCTTTCTTGAAGAACCGATCATAAGCTATGTATGATTTGCATAAAATTTAGGAGAGTCAGATATGATTATTTTCGAANTTTTTTTTTTTTTTTTTCCAAATGTGCCTTTATGTTACTTTTTCACGTTTATATCAACTATGGTCCTCACTCTAGCCAGAACCGGTTGTATGCTTATTATTTACACATTTTCATTAACCTTTATCTGAGTAAAGCCGACTTGAAATGATTTCATTTTTTCTTTGCATTGATTTTGTGGGTGTAATTAATTCCCAACAGTGTCTCGGAAAATATGCCCCTCTATGATATTTTGAATGAATTCCAAAAGGGCCACAGCCACATTGCTGTTGTGTATAAGGACTCGAATGAAACAAAAGAGTCGTTGCAAAAAGCCAAAGAAGGTATAAGCTTTTGTCGAACGGCTCTCAAGACAAGACATATATATATATATATACACACATAATTAGTTTATGCCCGTTTTGTGATCATATTAAGAGGGGAATCATTATTTGTGCAGATTATCAAAATTTTGCCATAAAACCAGACGAGAGCTTAGTGAAGAGAAACCAGCCGGCTTTCAAGAAGAAACACAGAGGTTGTTCGTTTTGTATTCTGGATTTGGACACGTCTCCAATTCCCGAGTTTCCGCCTGATCAAGTGGCTGTCGGTGTTATATCCATGGAAGATGTGATTGAGGAGCTTCTTCAGGTGAGTTCGGTTATATTATACACTATAAAAGAAAAATGAAAAAAAAAAGGAAAAAGGGTTTCAGAAAATGAGATTTGAAATGCCCCACCCCCTAAAAAAATGGGAAACTCGAATAACAACTAGAAAGAACTAAAAATCCTTAAGAATTGAGATAAAAAGAACGGTAAAAACGCGACTTTTTGGGGTCATTCATCAGATGATATGACACAAGTTTTACCCATTGTTCATTTTCGTAATTTTCGGCGGCAAAACTCACAACAACATTGGCACAAACTCAACAAACCTGAAAAAAAAAAAAAATGATTACTTGATACCCTTTTGAGTTAACCATCATTTATTCTCTCTCTTTTTCAATCTTTTTTTTTCGGTAATGTGTCATTATGAATTTTGTTACCTTGTTTCTCCAGGAGGAGATACTGGATGAAACGGATGAATACGTGAACATACACAACAGGTGAAGTTATCATTTCCACTTATCAAATTTCAAACTTATACGTTTCTGTCTGCAAAAACTTATTATTCACACCTTGAGATAATATTACTAATAACGATGATTTGAAGAATTTGTCATCTTAGAAAATTACAAATTCCTTTTGAGTGCATGATGATGTAAGGTAGAATCTAATATTATTGAGGTGTTTCAAATTTCAAAAGATATTTTTTTTTTTAATGTAATTAGACTACACATGAAGGTCCACACCTTATATTAATTGAAAAACTTGCTTGAGCAAGCAAAACTCAACTCTTCAAAACTGATAACTAAAATGCAATAATTACTAAAGAATGATTAATGTTGAAATTTTTTTATTGTGTTGCAGGATAAAGATAAACATGATTGGTTCTCAGGATAATAAGGCTCCTGAATTGGATTCGACTCAATCTATAGCTGCAGCTTCTCAACCAATTGCTTAGTATTTACAGTAGCACCTAAGGTGGTATATATATAATCAAACAGAGTTTCCCAAAATCACAGCTTTCTTGAACAGAGTTTTATGATCATCAATAGCTCTTCTTTTTT